CTAACACCTTTAGCAGCTTTTCAACTTCAAAGTAGTAAGGTTTTACTAAGGTTGACCTGAACTTCGTAGGCCTCGGACATGCTATTATGCACGTATGCCCTTGCCTGCTAAGCAGCTGAAAAGGGCCCTTCTACCCTTGGTTTTCTCGCTACACGAATACCCGTGAACCAATAAAAAGGTCTAGGGTATGCTTCGTAATTGGTCCATTCCTCCTTTTAAGCGCGTCCTTAACCTGCTTCGCGGCGTAGCATTTTCGTACTTCCCTTATAGCCTTGTTAATAGCAGCAGCACGCTCTTAGGTAAACGCGGCAAGTCGATCTTGTTCCGTCAGCTTCGGTAAGGTCTTAAAAACGAAGAGTATAAGGACCAAGCCATTAAGTCTCGCTATATCGTTGATAGCTTTAATAGCTATTTAAAGCCGATCTTTTTTTAAAGCCTTAAGAAGCTCTTTTGTAACGATCTTAAAGGCGCGTCGCATAAGGACGTAATAGCGTTTTATTAGCCCGACGCTATAATAAGCTTCTATAAGCATCTGCTTTAAAGTGCTGCTAATACTTTTAAGGTAGCCTCGAAACGTTGCCGAATTGAAGTTGGTTTCGAGATCGTGCACGACGTTTATAAAAGGTCCGACGTAAGTATTGACCTAACATCTACTAAATCCTTCAAGTAAGTGCTGTGCGGACATGCTTTTAAAAAAGGTAGCGGCCTGAAAATTAGTAAAATCGCAAACGACGTGCAATACGTTCTTGCCGTTAAAGTGCATCACATCGACGTATACCGTATCATTAAAGTCAATATTATTTTTAAGTCTAATACTAAACCTCCTTAAAGAGCGTCCGAATACTTAGCAATAGTAGCAAAACTTTTAGATGTTGTAGAGCAAATCTCGTTTGAATTCGTGCTCGGCCCTTTTAAAAACAGCAGCAAATCGACTTGCTAAAGGGTGGCCAAAACGCTTGTGGATGGTCCTTAATTGCTCTTTCGTAAAGTAGCAATAGACGGTTTCGCTTTCGGTGTTATAATAAGTAGCAGCGTGCTCCTTACTTAATAGCATCCACACGTGCTCAAACATCTTTACTATTAGTATTTCTTTCTTCTTTTAAACTAGCACGTTCCGCAGATTATCTAAGATTACCTTATGCTTGTCTATATCAGCCAACGAGAATAAAAAAGGTACGTCGCTTTCCACAACGTAGAACTCTATTTGACCTAAAAGGGTATCCAAAGTAACTGCTTTAATAAAGGTGGCAGAGCCGATCCCGTACTTGACGGACTTCTCCTTTGCTCGAAATATATCTAATTAAACTTCGGGGTACTTTTTTTAAAGTGCTCGTAGCTAAGGCAAGCTAGCGGTAAAGAAATTAGCTGCTCCGCTGTCGATCATAAGGCCTATAAAGACGTTTTCCGAGTACTTAAAGGCTATATAGGTCTTTGCTTTGCCTTCGGGCACGTTTTAGGTCTCGATTTAGCTAATAAAAGCGTAGAATGCCGTTTAGATCTCCAGCTGTTTGTATACTTCGTTAGCGTCAAAGGTGCCGTAAGTAATTACAAAACCTTCCGACATGTTAGCGTAGCTGCTCGATTCGGGTGGCTCGTTTAATAAGCTTGCAATAAACTGATCAAATTCTTCCGTAGATACAAGTAGCAAGCCTTCAATCGATGCTACGTATTAAGAGAATTTGCTTTTCGTCACTCTTTTTGCGTCTTTAAAAGCCTGGAACTTAGCGACGGATGCTTTTCTTTCGTCGAGAGTGTGGTTGGTGCTCTAGCAACTTGGCTTTTTGCAAACAAAACACCTTTTTTCACCCTTAATAGTAGCTTTAGCAGCTTTCTTACCTCCGAAGTATTAGCGGTCTTGAATAAAGCATTCGTATTCTTCGTCCAAATCAGAGTTAGCCTTTAAAGTGTTATAAAAGCAAGTGTGATCGTGTAGTTCGTTAAAGCTCGCGTAAGCTTTACTCGCTTTAGCGGGTCGAGAAGTCTTAGTTGCGAATGCAATTGCTCGGCGGATATTAGCAACTGCGGCGGTAAAAGTAAACGCAAGGTTCATACGTGCAATCGTAGTCTTTAGCACGTTTTTACAAGCTGAATATAGCTTATTAGCAAGACTTCGATCATCCTTCAAACCTAGTCGTAAAGAGCCTTGGATCCCTTTGAGCTCTTTAGCGAGCTTCTTAAAGCACTCGCTAAGCGAGGTCCTTAGATTCTCTTTCTTAATCAAATCCAGCGAAATTTCTTTTTAGCGGTCGTATTTTGCTTGCCGCCGATAATCAGTCTCGAAGTAGTCCTTTATAGCAATAGCGTTCGCCTTAAACGTAAGAAGCTTAGCCTTGATCACATGATTGTAATAGAAGGTTATAGCTTCCTCCGTTAGCATAATAAAGAACGCCGCTAAGTAGTCGTTTAAGGTCAAACCGTACCGACTTGCTTGGTTAGCAAAAATCCTTAATTAGGTTCTGAAGTCATCGTCGAGCCTTAAATACTTCAGCTCCTTAAGAAAGCTTCTTGCAAACAAAGCTAACTCTTTTGCTCTTAAATAAAGGTCTGCTGCTCTTAGCTTAAAGAAATCGTCACCATTATCGTCAAGGGCGCCTAGAGTGCCGTACGCAAGCGTGCCGTGCTTAGCTAATAGTCGGATCGGTAAAAGGTTACCGATATAATTGCCGGTTATAGGTCTTACCTTTCCAAGGTCCTTAAGAAGCTCATTTCCGGATCCGAGGTCCCTTGGAAGTCCGTTGCCGAATCCTCTTAAGGGTCCAAGGAGGCCGTTCCTACCCCCTCCGTACCCGTAGCCTCGATCTCCTTGCTAGTAGCCTCGATCTCCTTGCCAATCTCCTTCGTTCCTTCTTCGTCGGCTATCGTTAGGATCTCTAAGGCCATTCGAGTCACCGGCTAATGCTCTAGCTTAATAATATCCGTATCCCTAAGCTTGCCTTTAGCGATTCTTATACCCTTGGTCTCTCTTTTATTAATACGTAGCTTCTTGAAAGATATAAGTAGCTTGCCGGTACGTTCGAAAGTGCTAGATCCCCCTTTCGAGTTGCTAAAGTTGGGCACGGAAATCTGTACGCTGTCCCTGGTAAGAGTTGATTTTGTCCGGAATGCTCTTAGGTTTCGACGGGTCCTCTTTTAGCGTGTAACTCCCGTAGCCTCGAGTGTTGTCTAGTCCGATGATGATCTCAAGACCCTTATTATTGTTGCTACTAAGCCTAAGCTTTTTAGAAAACTAGGTATAGCTCTTAAGAAAAAGGTTTAAAGGCCGCTGAAGTGATTTTGGCTCTTGTTGTATGATTAGCGTATTGCGTAGCGATTAATGAGATTGATGAATTAAAGACGTCGAGTACGCTAAAGTGCTTCGTCGTAGCCTTTCGTTTGATTGTATAGCGTAGGTCTGTAATTCCGCCATTTCCCTTGCCATAGCCTCTATATTTCGTTCCATATCTCTCCTTTCTCTTAAAAACTCCTCCCGTAACCTTTGGATTTCCTCTCCTTCTTCCTTCTTGCTTGAGGTCTCTTTTTCCTTCCCTTTTAGGCTTCTCGGGGGTGGTGGAGGTAGTTAAAGCGTATTATCTTCGTCGTCCGTAAGGTTTTCGGCGGTCCACTTTGAATCGAAGCCTAAAGGTGTTACTTGTTGCTCTTTTATTTCCTGGAAGGTCCATTAGTGCTGCTGCTCGTCGTTCAAAAGCTTGACCATCCTATTAGCGTAGCCCCTTTGCTTTAAGAGGCACCATACGCCTTTAGACAGCAAGTGTTCCTTAAAGCCAATAAAAGTAGCAAACTTAAGGCCTCGTCTCGTATTATCCTTCGTTATCGTAAAACTCGTCTAATCCTATCGTAAGAAAGCGTGCCGGAATAGGCTCTATAAGTCGTAATCCCTCAGCCCTTTACACTTCGCGTCCAAGAAGTCCTTCACTATCGCTCGAGCCGTGATCTCACTATCTGGCCTTGCGTATAGCAGCTCGTTTAAGTCAAATAAGATGCCCGACATCTTATCGTCTGGTCCCTCCGAGAGGCTTAAGAGCCTTAAGTATAATGTTTCTTTTAGCTAAATAGCTAAGGGTTCCGTAAGTAATGATGAAATTCGAAGGGTATAATACCCTGCTCCTTGTCGGCTAGACTCCCCACCCGAAGGTCTAGTTGCTCGATCGGCTATAGTTGTTGTCTGTTTGTGTATAAGTCGATCTAAATTTGGTTAGGTTGCTATATGTAGCAAGCGCGGCTCTTATAGCGTTAAGGTTGTTTTTAAAAGTGACTTGGTTCGGAATCACTCTTCCGTAAGAATAAGGAAAATCGGTGGTATAAGCAAGCGACTTGATACGGAATCGCTCTTCCGTTATAAAAAGAAAAAGGTATCGTATTGAAAGGTATCCTCGCTATAAAGTATTCTTAGCTTCTCTGTGATTGATCACTTAGTAATAAATCAACTACTAATCAATGTTAGATTGCTTCTAAGCGATTAAAAATATATATTCGTAACTTCGTAAGATCGTCAAAGTACTTGCAATTGCAAAACACTCGGTTGATAAAGTATCTGAATTCTGTCTGCTCCCTAAGGCTCAAGGGAGCTGATTCCTTTTATACGATTAAAAGGAATCACGTGCACTAGCTAGCTAATAGGTTTACTTGTCAAGTTAGGGGTCCCTTGACTGCTGACATGCTAAGCGAGGCATGCCAAGTGGCCCGTGAACCATGGTTCACGGGTGAGCTTCCCCAACTACTACTACTACTACTACTACTAGCTAAGGTCGATATGGATATACCGACAGACCTCTTAAAGCTCGCTTTAACTATTGCGCTAATCTTATAGCATTATAACCAAAACCTCTTTTATATACTAAAAACTAACGCTTCCGACGGCGTAGTCGCCTTAGTCCTTTCTTAAAAGCATAGCCTCGACTAACTACTAATCGCTTATTACTTTAAAACCATAGCTTTCGCTAAGCTCAATTACGTCGTCTACGATAAAAAAATACTCGCTATTATACGCTTTTTTAATAACTTCCGCGCCGAACTCGCCGGCTCTTTTTATTAAGTTCAAGTGATCACCGATTATAAAGCCTTAGAGTACTTCATGACTTCCAAGACTTTCAACGCTCGTTAAGCACGTTAAGCAAAGCTCTTTTCCGATTATAACTTTATTATTACGTACAGACCAAGTAAAGACAACCTTTTAGCTAACGCGCTAACACGTCGCACCGAAAAGCTCTTTTTTTAAAACAGCCTTAAGCGTACCTAGCGCTTGCAAACGCTGCTTCGCGCCGACAACGTTAACTTACGACTTTTAACCGAAAAGCTACGCTAACTTACGCTTTCAAAGACCGCCGTCATTATCGAAAAGATCGCGGAGCTTTTATTAACATTCCGAGTTATTAACCAAGTCTTAAAAGCTAATCGAACCGCTTTTAGTTTTTCAGCATTTCGAATTCAAGCTTTTAAAATTAAGTTTTTACTCGTAAACTACGGTTTACGAGCTAAACTCATTATAAAAAGCGACTTGCTGCTTTATAACGGCCGCTTATTAATTCTTAACGTTTAAAACTTGCGCTCGTTACTCGTCCGAAAAGTCTACGACCAAGTATTTACAACACACTTTAGCTTACGCAAGACTTATAAGCTTTTTACAACATAGTACTACTAGCACAGCATAATTAGATTCGTCAACTAGTATTATCGCAACTGCTACGCTTACAAACGAGCTTTAATACCTCGCAATAAAAAACTTAGTTTACTCTAACTTCTTTCGATCTTTTCGCGCTTTTAAAAGCACGTCATTATAGATTTTTATAGCTTTAATAAAAACAAATACAGCTACGATAACGTCTTTATAATAATCGACCGTTTCTTTAAGCAAGTGATGTGCAAAA